CCGAATCGCGCGATGCAAAATAATCGTGGACTTGTACGAGAGATCAGACACGAATCGTTGAAGCGCGTGATGAATACGCGAGCTAACGAGAGATTCCACCGGCTCAAAGTGACATAATCTCATTACTCCCGCCTTAACCACTTTCCGAACAATAATGCGCTCATCTCTTTTTTCTCTCGGCTACGATGTAAATTCCCGTAATTGTAATATGAAATAGACTCGGTTAAGTTTCAATTCGTCGCTTTGTGCGAAAGCGGAAACGTTCGTGGAAAAAGAATATTTAATATTTTCATTCATTCGCGTTTAACTTTTATTCGAATCGTTCTCGTCTCGAAACTTTGACAATTCTCGAAATTCTCGAGGTATCCTCATATTAGACGTTAGAAAAGAATCTTACGCGACGATACGACGATAATTGGATTCTTCCAGGATTACGCTTCCCTTTCCTATCAACGTCCAATCCAAAATTCTGTCCCGTATGCCATAATTGTCATTAACCTCGATGAAAACTAACGATGACCTACGCCTGCAATCTAGAGATCTATCTACGATCTACCTACCGACCTACGACGTCCGATCGCGAGGAAAATAATGGATATGGATAAATGATCGAAGATCGGCGAGAAGAAAGATCGGCGAGAAAACGTCTTTCGATTCGATTTATCCGTTGGGAGAGCGACGCTTCTCTTATCGTTATCGCGAAAAATCTCCATACGCGATCGCGATAAATAATTCAACTGGAACTATCCCAAAGGTGGAAAAATCCGAGTAGCATAGTTTCCGACGAATTCCATTCGTATTCGTTGCCGTGTTCTCGTCCCTGCAGGAATATGGAAAGGAGGCCGCACAAAGGGGGAACGGGATTCGTATCTATACCGCGGTGAATCGACGTGGTATAGCGCTCACCCAACGGTCACGTCGAAGATGTTGCTGCCAACCGAGCTCGATACGGCCATGTCGCCGAATCCTTTCCGCGCCACTATCACGCTGGTGATCAGATCTGGGATGCTGGTGCCGGCGGCGAGGAACGTCAGGCCCATCACTTCCGGTGGAATGCGAACCGTGTCGCCGGCGACGTTCGCCCACCAGACCATCAGGTACGAGTAAGCCGCGATCCAAAAGATCGAGCCGATGAACGTCACCGCGAAGAACTTCTTTCCTGTAACAAACAGACCGGATAGAGATCCACTCCATTCTTCCATCCGCGCTCTCCGGTGGATTGGGTTGAAAGGAGATTCCCTTTAAATCGAATCCCCTTTCTTTCTTCCCCCTCCATTCCCCATCGTCCATTCGTCCAAAACTTTTCGCTACTCCTTGTTTCCTCCCTTTATCTTTCTCTTCGAACCGCGTTCGTTCGAGTTTGCAAGTTTTCGCGCACAGATTCCAGTGAATAAGCTTTCGTGTACACGTTCGTGTGTTTGGCGCGCGTGAAAGAGAGAGAACGAGCGCACCACGCCCAAGACTTTGTATCGCGATAATCGAAATCTAAACTCGAATTCTCGCAATTGCATTAGTCGGATAAGGATCGAACGATTTCTTTATCGGTTAATATTATCAATTTCGAGGATAAGCTTTTCCATTAGATTCTTCCTATTGTTCGAGAAACGATCTATCAAGATAAAGAAAATAGAGCGAAAAAAAAAAAGAAACAACTAGATGGATCGAACAAAAAAACATTCTCCATGCTCCGTTACAAAAAGGGATCGTTTCGCTTGTGTTCGTCGAGCACACTTTAATTATTATCCCGACATCGAGATCCCTATTAATTATCGAGTTTTTTTTGCATCTAATCGGGATCGGCGGCCAATATTTCAAGAAATCGAAAATGAGCTTTTTTTCTTTTTGAAATAACGAATAAATAGATTCTCGAATTACAATTTTTTTCCCTTTTTACGGATTTTCCACTCTTCAATAATGATAATAACGACGATTGATAACGATGAGACGACTATGAATCACGAGTTTCGATACCGATACCGATATTCCAATGGAACGACGAAACGAACGTTTTCGTGGGCACAAATTGAAATCGAGAGGTCGTTTTCCAATTTTGCGTAACAATGAAAACGTAGCGCTCGCCGCGGAGAAGAAGCTGAATACGGCCGCGAGGTAACAATCAGTCGCCGATTCGAAATTAGCGTGTCAATATCATCTTTCGTCGGTGGTTATTGTGTCGCGTTGAAATACAGGCTGTTAATAGGCCGTGATAATGCACCACGTCCGTGATTGATGGAGACACGGGAAACGGTTTTGAATAACAGCGCGTGTCGTCTCCCGTCCATCTTAGAGCCGTTTAATTGCATCGTTCGATCTTCACGCCGTTCAAGATTGTATTATTTACGCGACACGACATTAAGCTATTTAAAGGGAAAATTTCATCGGAGCATCGATATCGAGGATTGAAATAATAATACAATTAGAGGGGAAGTAAATATTTTTAACTGCTTTCAATACTCGGGCAGAAAGTTTCGTCTTTCGTTTTTCTTTTTCAATCTCAATTGGAGAAAAATTATTACGGATAGATGATTTTATAAAAGTTGCAATCTCAGGAAGCGAGTGAACTTTTCTTCGATAACGCGTATTTTTAATTTTGGAGATTTAAAAGTTTGATAAAAGAAGAATCGTTACAGAACGATGATTTACGAAAAAATTCTTCTACGAAACGCTTCTTTATTACTATATTACCTATATATATATATATATTACGTATATATATATATATATATAA